CTGGAGAGAGTGAAAAATATGAAAAGACAATTAATTAGATGTTTAATTTAAGACTGAGACTATGTCTACTAACATTAAGTACGAGAAAAATGGCCCGTTGAGGAAGGATACAACGGGCGCTAGGCAGATAGTGCTGTCTCTTTTCTCTAAACTAAAACCAACCCACCCGCCCACACACATCCCACCCCCCACCCCCACCCCCCACCCCCCCACACACAACCCCCCCCCCCAAAATTTCAAGTACCCCCCACCCCTCTCCGGGGAGGAAAAAGTCTGAAAGAAACACTGGTGTCGCGCTTAGCCACTACCCGAAGAATTGCATTAAAGAAATTGCAAGAAAACCACTTTTTAGATTAGACACATTAATTAGGCGGTAATTTTATTATAGAGTATCGATGAAGAAATTTCTTTTGAGTTGGGGAGGGGGGGGGGGGGGGCTCAGACGTTCTTACGCGGGGGGTGGGGCTTCGCCCCTACCCGAAGAATTGTATGAAAGAAACTCTTCACGCAAACCATTTAGATTAGACAAAATTTCCTTTTTATTCAATGTTTACTCGAGAATCAATGACGTCATATTACTGTGTGCACTCTCCTGCTTGAGATTATTTTCTACTCTATGCTAAATGTGACCGCGTCATACTTCGTTTTTCGAATTACTGTGCATGTTTTTATTTTGCTTGTGTTTTCTCTACAGCGTTCTTGTCAGATAGATAGATACATAGACAGACAGCGAAACTATTAGTATTATAATTGTTATTTTTACGGCTACTGATGTATTTGTTTTTCAACTTGATAATAGTGATAATGATAAAAAAAAACAACCTACCAAACTATTTTGTTTAGAACTTAAGCTCTATATAATTTTACCATAGCAAATAATAACTTAAAGTTGTATTTACATGTAAGCGGTCAACCTAAGGCCCGAAGGTGCAGGAATTTGAAATGAATGTACAGTTAATCAACGAATTATCTCCCATTTGAAAATCCAAATACCAAAATTTTATTCAAGGGAAATAACTTTCACAAGAATAGCTAAATTACCCAGGTGTAACAAAGACATGCTTGAAAAACACAACAAAACGCTCTAAATTTCATTACGTAATAATTGTAACAAATATTTTATATTAGCTATGTAACCTTGTGAAAACAATATATTTTACCCATTGAATACTTGAATGTAGGTTTTGTTTGAAAGCTTCAAAACGGTAGCTTTACTATAATTAACATACTTCTATTCAACTTTGATGGCATACGATTGAACGCGACATATTCTTTTAATGTGTAACATATTAAATTTTGGATCCCCGATATAAAGGGACATTTTTCAGAAAACCTAACACGGGTAACTGTCTTAGACATTGCTAGAATTTATTGATTGAATAAACAAAAATTACACTTAGAAAAAAACAAAGTTTACGGTTGGCTATAAATTCCATCCTATTTAATATTATATATTAATACTTTAAGAGTGGTAATATAATTTTAATATAGATTCCTAAAAAACATGATTTTTCGACTAGAGAACGCCTATTTTTCTTTGTAGTGTGTTCCGTGCTGAATTGAAATTATGTAACTTACGATAAACTCGACTACTTGATATACTCTACTACATTCACAACACATATCAAACTTCGATATCTAAACATAACTAGACTCGATGCTCCAGAACTATGACACCAACTCGCTTAACTTTATCAAGCTCTACAAACGATACTCCAAATCAACAACGATTTCACTGGACCTACTACTACACTTTAACATTCGATATAATTCGATACCTTAATACCACAAGAATCAATCATCCCGAACTCCAGAACTACGATACTTCATTACCTGCATTCTCATATCTCTATTACCAATCAGATTCCACTAGATCTTAAACTATAAAACAGCCGAATAACAATAATGACACTTTAACACATAGATACTTTATACTTACGAAACCATATCAGCAACAGCCTTCCGCCGTTACTCCCATCAAAACTTAACCAAACAAGTACAATACTTTGAACACCCCGTCATTACAAAACTCTATACACCAGGACATATTTCTAATTCAAAGTCAGAGAAAACGAGACTTACAAGCCCTATTTAAATTAGATAACCGTTTGAAATGTTCAAAATTTAATTTACGAACGTTTTCTACATCACTTGTATGACACCAAATTAAAAAGGCATTGTGACTGGTAAAAAAAAGTGCCCCGACCTTTCCAAATTAGGGAGATGGGGTTGCATTTTCAACATCGCGAATAAATATAGGCCTATATAGACCTAATTTTGGGGTGGGGGTGCAAAATAGATATTGGTAGTTCGTGCTGGATGCCGAAATAGATCGCTACGCCTTTATAAAAGTTATTAATTATTAGGTACTTATTGATAATAGCGATTAAATATTTTGCGCCCCCCACTAGGGATGGCGCCCAAGGCGACCACCTAGTTCGCCTTATAGGTAGCGCCGGCCCTGCTACTAAAACACCTCTTGTCTGAGTGCTGGTAGTCGAACACAGCTAAAAGTAAAAGCGGAAATGTGCGGAAACAAGAAAGAAAACAATTGGAACAGAGGCGTAGCGACCCTTCCCTGCGCCCGGGGACAAACTTTCGATTTGCAACCCCCCTCAAGATTTCGATTTGCACCCCCCCCCCCTTGAAAATTTCGATTTGCACCCCCCCCCCTCAACCTTTCAATTTATTTTTCCACTTCCAACCCATTTTGGCGCCCCCTAAGGTCGGCGCCCCCTAAGGTCGGCGCCCCCTAAGGTCGGCGCCCGGGGAAATATGTCGTCCCCCCTCGCTACGCCTCTGAATTGGACATCTTTACTGGACATCTTTCCCCCTAATGATTTCTACGTACCAAGATAACACCAGTGTTTCTTTCAGACTTTTTCCCCGAGGAGGACACTTGAAATTTTCGTGCGGGCTAAAACTTTTCGCAGGGGAGGGGGTGGGGGCGACGGTCACTGGTGAAAGTATATATTTTTTATAGAAAATCTCTTTCGTTCGTGGGGGGGGGGGGGGGGGGGGGGCTGGGCTACCGAAGAGATACTTGAAGAAACACTGGACAAACATTAGAGTAACATTTTCAGAGATCAACTGCAGTGTATGACCGTTGAATGCAACGATTCGAAGCGAGATCTCGCCTGCACGCAGCGAGAACTGGAGAAATCTCGCCGAGAGGCGGACGATCTGAAGCTAGCCCTGCAGGTTAGATACTGTTGGTCAGTGGCGTAGGCAAGAGGGGGTTGGGGGGGGGGGGTTATAACCCCTCCCATGGCCCCCTGTATATATATATATATATATATATATATATATATATATATATATATATATATATATATAGGATTGTATATCCATTTAAAAAAATTGTTTGAACCCCTCCCATGACCAATTCCTGGCTACGCCACTGCTGTTGGTTATCCACACCCTCTTGAGAAACATTGTTTTTTCTAAAAAATATTATTATAGATGAAGATACCTATGGGTAATACAAAAATTCAATTATTATATTGCTGTTGATTAAACATGCTTGAATATACCAGCTTCGATCAGAGGCGTAGCGACCCCTCCCGGCGCCCAGAAACTTTCAATTTGGTGCCCCCCCCCCCATATATTTTTAATATTTATAATTCAAAATAACAGTTAAAATGAGCTTACTTTGGCGATCCTAGGGTCGGCGCCCAGGGATATATGTACCCTCCCCCCACCCCCCACCCCCATCGCTATGCCTCTGGCTTCCATAAGGGATCGTCCATAAATGACCTTACTCAAGTTCAAGTGATTTTTTTACAACCCCTTTACGATACCATAATAACATTGATACAAAGCGCCCCCCCCCCCATAGAAAACTAATTGAGCGAAAATTTAAAATGTATTAAATTTTATTTGTATTCTATATTTGCCCCCCCCCACCCCCCCCCCCCCCCTCCTCACACACACAATTTGCACATTTTCGTTGCGTAACATCATTTATGGATGGACATCCATTACCTACATAAACTCCTGTTTGTTTTGTTATTTGTTTAAACAAATCGACTCTGTATCTCTCCCACCAGGAGAAAGAAGGGATGTTGTACCGGCTCACGGAAGAGAAAACAAGCCTGTCCAGTAAAATCACCAGCCTTCAGTGTCGCCTCGAAGGGGAGACAACCCAGTTGACCCAGCAGATGGCTGACATGCGCTACCACATGGAGAAGGAGGTAACCCTTTAGTGGGGGTCACAGGTTCAGCGTGTATAATCAAAATCAGTGTTTCGTCCAGATTTTTTTCTCAGGGGGGGGGTGGGGGGGGGGGCACTTGAAATTTTCGGGGAGTGGGGGGGGGGGGGAACACTGTTAAAGTATATATTTTTAATATAAATTCCATTTCGTTTATGGGGGGGGGGGGGGCGGCTTGATGAGATGCCTGAAAGAAACTCTGATCAAAATGGATGCTGCGCTTACTTTATCATATTTTTTTCCAGAAACTTTCCACATGGGGTGGGTAGGAAAGAATGAAAGACTTGTTAAAGTATATTTGTACTCTATAATACCTGAAACGACAGGCGTTGTTGGTAGTGTGTCATTCGCTCATCGGTGTAGTGAGTAGATCTAGAGGTTGGTTAGCGTTAGAATAAATTATCTGTCGACTTTTGAAGATGTTAATTGCCTGGGACGACCACGGGAAACCTTTATTAAAAAATATTTTTTAATACTATTTTTTATACTATTCTAACTTCTATGGAAAACAGTTTAGAGAATGCACATTCAAAAATTGTTTTTCTTTAAACTGCTCTTGGCAGTGTTTTTTTCAGGCGTCTCTACTAAGCACATCCACAGCACCCCCAACCCTTGGACAAAATAAAAATAAGACATAATTTTTATGTAGAAACTATACATTTTAAGCAGCCCCCCTCCCTCACCGCAATATTCAAGTGCCACTCCCCCCCCCCCCCTCGAGAAAAATTTCTGAAAGAAACACTGGCTCTAGACAGGACAGCTAAGTAGAAGATACTTTCCAGTAAATACCGGGTAGTTAACTCAGTATTTACAATAATTTATTTTCTATTTTGATTTACCGCCCCTTCTAAAAAAATGGATCACCAGAAGATTATGATTGTTTCTTTTTTAGCGTCGGTAACTTACAAATTGTCGTTCCTGACTTTATTTTGCAGACTTTCCCCTATCGTTCGAGTTTGCTGAATGTTTTGTAAACACAGGCACTAAAATAAAACTACTAAATATCTCAGTTTGCATCCGAGCTGTAGTGTTTATCCCTGCTTGTATCAGGACTGTAATACTCATCACTGCTTGTGTCAGAATTACTTATTCCTGCTTGTATTAGGACTACTTACCCCTGCTTGTATTAGGACTACTTATCCCTGCTTGTATCAGGACTGTAGTACATATCCCAGCTTGTATCAGGACTGTAGTACATATCCCAGCTTGTATCAGGACTACTTATCCCTGCTTGTATCATGACTACTTATCCCAGCTTGTATCAGTACTACTTATCCCAGCTTGTATCAGTACTACTTATCCCAGCTTGTATCAGTACTACTTATCCCAGCTTGTATCAGTACTACTTATCCCAGCTTGTATCATGACTACTTATCCCAGCTTGTATCAGTACTACTTATCCCAGCATGTATCATGACTACTTATCCCAGCTTGTATCAGTACTACTTATCCCAGCTTGTATCATGACTACTTATCCCAGCTTGTATCAGGACTACTTATCCCAGCATATATCGGTACTGTACTACTTATCCCAGCATGTTATCAGCACTGTACTACTTATCCCATAATGTATCAGTACTGTACTACTTATCCCTGCTTGTATCAGGACTACTTATCCCAGCATATATCAGGACTACTTATCCCAGCATATATCAGGACTGTAGTACTTATCCCAGCATGTTATCAGCACTGTACTACTTATCCCAACATGTATCAGTACTGTACTACTTATCCCAGCATGTATCAGTACTGTACTACTTATCCCAGCATGTATCAGTACTGTACTACTTATCCCAGCATGTATCAGTACTGTACTACTTATCCCAGCATGTATCAGTACTGTAGTACTTATCCCAGCATGTATCAGTACTGTAGTACTTGTCCACTTGACAGACAGAGCAGCTGAGGAACTGTATCATGGAGCTGGAGGAGACCAACGCCAGCCTGTCCCAGAAGTCCTCAGCCACCCAGCGTCAGCTGACCCAGCTGGAGAAGTGCTACTACCAGAAGGTGGACACGCTGAGCAGGGAGAACGAGATGATGCAGAACAAACTGGCGGACAAGGATGATCAGTTGCAGGCTGCTAAAGATTGTATCACTCTAAGGGTAGGTAGCGTACAGTAGGTACCAGATCACTTACTTTAAGGGTAGGTAGCATACAGCAAAGATTCTGTCACTTAAAGGGTAGATAGCATCTAGTAGATATTGTATCACTCTAAGGGTAGGTAGCATACAGCAAAGATTCTGTCAGTCTAAGGGTAGGTAGCATACAGTAAAGATTCCAAGGGTAGGTAGTGTCTAGTAGACATTGTATCATTCTAAGGGTAGGTAGTGTCTAGTAGACATTGTTGTATCATTCCAAGGGTAGGTAGTGTCTAGTAGACATTGTATCATTTTAAGGGTAGGTAGCATGTAGTAGTCATTGTTGTATCATTTTAAGGGTAGGTAGCATGTAGTAGTCATTGTTGTATCATTTTAAGGGTAGGTAGCATACAGTAAAGATTTTTTTCATTCTAAGGATAGCTAGCATCTAGTAGACATTGTATTGTTCTAAGGGTAGGTAGCATCTAGTAGATATTGTATCACTTTAAGGGTAGGCACCAGATATCACTAAGATAAGTACCAACCAGCAGATAACTTCTTTTTCGTTCTTAATTTTAGTGTTGGAAGAGATCCCCCTCCAACACAATAACGATAACCAGCTAGCAAGTAACCAAAGATTGCATCTCAACACAGACCCTTTAATGAACATAATGCTAAACAAACCAATCCTAATTTTCAGGACTCAGAGATCATGCGACTGAAACTGCGGTTGTGCAGCATGGATAAGTGCAACAGTCACCTGGGCTCCAATGTCGACTGCTGCGTGCCCATGCCAGGCTCCAATGCCATGACATGCGAGACAGGCATCAAGTGCCGGCGGCGTTCCTTGTCCTGTGGAACATCGTCTTGTGTAGCTCCAATATCACATTGTGCTAAGTGGATGTCCAAAAATGATTCTGTAGGCAACTTGATTTAAAATGACTGCTTAATGCTTTTTACTTAGGGGTGGTTGGGGGCTTGAAAGTTGATATTTCACCATGTGTATAGGTATATATATTTTACCATGTACATATATATATATATATATATATATATATATATATATATATATATATATATATATATATATATATATATATATATATATATATATATATATATATATATATATATATAAAGACATATATATGAAAATGATTAAATACTCTCTTTCTAAAAATATTGGGTGGGTAGTCAGCTGCTAAATACTTTTTAGAAATGTTCTTTAGCAAGTACCTCTGTTAATGTTTAATCCACAAAACAAACTATTTTTATTTTATTTTTACAGGCAGATAAACCGCCATTGGACGATAAGTAGCAAAGATCAACGTCCAGTTAACCAGATTATTTTTTTCCCATCAATGTCGACTTTATAATGAAATAAATATACATGTACACAAAGTGTGTTCGTATTAAATTAGCAATGTAAACAGAAAGTGATATTTCAACGCCAAGGGTAGAAAAAGGTACAGAATATAGTCCAAGTAAAGTGGCGTTGAAATATCACTTTCTGTTTACATTGCTATTTCAGTTACAACGCCTGCTTCCACCCCTCACCATCGTATTAAATTATGATAATTGGTGATGGTACACTTAAATGTAACATTTTTCTCTCACTCTTCAAATACAACATTAAATACATTACATAGACACCCTGCCCCAAAAGCAACAATTATTTTCTGTAACGAATTGAGATTTTGAAAAAAAATCCTTGCAAACAAATCAAATTCTTTGAGAATAAATTATTTAATAGATAATTTTTATTTATTGGAATTTTTATTTGTGGCAAAACAATACAATTGTAAATTATGAACAGATTCAAAAAAATTAATATATATAACAAAAGCGTTCTCGCTTAAATGTTTATCTAAAGACTTGTTACAATTATATACAGTACAAACATATTTTTAACTTAGTGTTAGAACTTAATGATCAGATCGTATCAATCCAATAAGAAAAAATGTGGTAGATTATATTTGTCTCACTTATCTCACTGTAGGAAGGATTAACAAATGCAATACAATAGTAACACAGGCATGACAATAGGAACATGATATCATTAGTTTATCAGCAGTACCTGTTGTGGCAAGTAATGACAATAAGAAAAATAGACAAGAGCAGAATCATTAATCCTTCAAATACTGATATTTAAAACTAAAGTAATGGAAGTATTATTTCAAGTCACAGGTATTCAATAATTGGACACAATCTTGAACAAAATCTAGAAAGACAATGGAATTTTAAGCTTTAAAAGTTTTAGTTTTATCAAAGTTGTAACAACTTTTTTTTATACATTCATTACTAACCAATGTAGTAGTAATATTAACTTGCAAAATACTTTCCTAATTTTCTCCAAAACAATACCATATGTGGAATTACAATGTATATTAAACTAGACTCACATAACATTTTTGCTGAGGACTTGTTTTTTTTACGGACACTTTCAAACTTCTTTCCTAAAATTTAAATATCTTTAACAAAAATTGCCCAAAAAATTTCATTGATAAATTGATACTTTCAATCATTATGAAAACTCATAAGCTATTCTCATATTCAAAAGTGTTATTTTAAATTAGCAAGAAGTGACCAAACCATGACAGGAAGATCATGACTGACATATTTTACTGACCGTGCCAACATCCTCATGGCTCACCAGGACCACATTGTTAGCTACACGACTCATCAAGGCACCAACCTTGTCTGCGTCTAGACCCTGGTGCCACAAGTCTTTCAAATAATTCTCCACCTTGTGGGCGCTCTCCGCCTGTGATGCAGGATCCACATAAAGCAACAGGATCATCAAGATATCCTTGTAAGGCGCGTTGTCATTATCACAGTACTTGTGAAGAATCAATGCTGCCTCAGGTGACAGGAGCTGAAGGTTGTCAACCACTACGGATTTATATTTGGAAGATCCCAAAGCAGAATCTAATGCATCGTCTAGGTTTTTTTTCTGAAGATCTGATCCGAGGTCTTTAATGGAATTGATGTCAGTTATAGAAGGGGGTGTGTTTAATTTGTTCACAGACTGAAATATCGCAGCTATTTGATTTGCAACACACCTGGCAGTGGAGGAGTCTTTGCTTTGAGAAGCCATGAGAATAATGCTGGGATATTCTGAGCTGGTTTCATTTAAAATGTGTTTGACTGAAGCTTTGATTGTCCGCCATAGACGGTCGTTCTGACTGGGTAAGTTAGACTGCAGCTGTTTCATGTCATGAATAAATTTCTCAAAAGGTAGAACTTGTACAGTTCTCTTTTCTGGGGATGAAGCCAGCTCTCGTGGATTAATGAACGGCCAAATTAGATATGCAAAAACTAAAATAATAATAAACATAATAAATACAAAGAGATTTTTAGAATGGTTGCCTTGGTCTGAATGTTCAGAAGATAATTTCTTTAAATCTGGATAAATCTTTGAATTTTCAGCAGATTCCTTCTGTATTCTTCTTGGACTTGAATCTACATCTGAACAAGAAGCGGAGAACTCAGCATTTTTTGAACTGATATCTAACTGAGGGTATATCCTTTTAGTTGGAGTGGGAGAGTTTTGGTGAGTGTTTCTACTAGCAAAGGGGGATGGGTTAGACAAAAAACTGGAACCTGGGCTGCTGTTGCTGGATGACTCAAGAAAACTTTTGTACACAGAAGTGTCTCGCTTTTGACCAGGAGTCAATGACTTGTCAAGGGAGACGTTTGAAACATAACTGGTATCATTGTTTGAATCTTCTTCACTTTCACCTTCATTGTATGATGTCTTTTTATTCCTTTGTCTCAGGTCATCTCGGGCAGACATGTTAAGCTGACCTGTTTAAGAATGTGAAAAAACATTTGTTTTAAATAAAAAGACACAGATGTGTTGGTGGACTTAACAAGGTATTGAATAGAAATTGGTGACAAAGCAAAACTATAGTGATGGACTGCAAATGAGACCAATCTCTCAGCATCAGAGATGTATTTGGTACACTCATACTGGTTTTTACATTTTTTGGCACAGCAGTGATTTTAATTCTATCACATCAGTTGTTTGCCTTTTATTTATTTATTCCATTCTTTTTTCATCATTGAACCAACATGTGATGGAATTATTCAACTCCATTCTAGAGTTGTGCTGGGTTTTAAACAAACAACATCCAGGAGGCTGGATATATTAAATTCTTAAAATTTAATAAGTATTTTTAATTAAATAATTAAATTCACCTGTATTATTTTTAAAGATTGCACATTGTTTTACATTTTAAAAAAAAAAAGATTAAAAGTTAGGACATTGATTTAACATTCATTAATGTTAGACATTTTTAGACCAGTTTTATACTCATTTGTAAAAATAAACTGATATTGAAACACAGTTGAATTCTAATAAATTTTGCATATTGTGAGAATATAAATGTAATATTACTACTAGAAACATTCAGCGTGTAATTGTTTTTTACAAATTTTTAAATATTGTAAATTAAATGTGTTTAAACGGGAAAATAACCAGCAATTAAAATAATTTTAACTGAAAAAATTCAAATAACCTAGGAAAAAAAAAAAAAAAAAATCGCAATATAAATATAGCATTATTTTAACTTTAAAATAGTAATAATAGTTTAACTGCTGTGATAAATTAGAATTTGCAAATTATGAGTAAAAAATAAAAGGTATTTAACAATATTAGTCTTTATTTTTTAATAAACAAAAAATTCTGACAAATAAAACAGAAATCTGCTAATGCTTTATTGCATAACTTACCATTTCTTTAAAATACCCAGAAATTGCATAATTTAAAAAACAAAATCAAACATAAAATTAATTATTCCAATCTGAGGAAGTAGAATTAATACATTAGTAACTAACAGTCATTTTGGCTGGCCTGTCTAAAAAAAACAATTAGGCATATTTATTTTGAACAAATCTTTGAAATTGGCTAAATTTTCAAGTATTTCATTTCTATTTGCACAGCATATGTAGGCCTATATGATTTTTTAAATGTGAAGAAAGAATTTTTTTCTGATAGAATCATTGTGGTTGATCTTCTGATTATTTATTCTTATTTTGGGAAGCAAGACATTACTGATTACCCCCCCCCCCCCTATTTTATTAAACTCCTCCAACCTGTTTTATCAGACTAGTACTACACTACAGAGTACTTACCGCTGGTGACTCTGACTGCCTTAACCTAGCCTAAAAAGCTTGCCCTAAACCAGCTCCTCTGAGAACTCTGAAAGGGCAGATTTTTTAAATCATGTGAATTGTTTTTTTTGAAAACACACATTTGGTGTGAGGCACTGTTACTGTTAGGTCTGTTAGGGGCCGGGCCTAGATCTATATATTTATTAAGTAATCAATCGTTTTAGGTACATAAAATTGGCAGAGACTAGTAATGTGGGTAAAAAGGTGACTCATTAAATTTTGGTAATTATTTCATATTTTTTAGGAGGATTTATGTTTTGAAAGTCACAAAATGTTTTAAAGTTTCATCAATGTACAATTGTATTACTGCTATTAGGCTTACTTACTTACTTACAGATGGCCGCTTTTTATTCTGCTTGCAAACACTGCTGTTTAATTAGGCATTTTGATGAAAATTTCATAATGATTTTTGAATTAAAAAATCTATCAATAATTGCTAGCACACTAGTAAACTAAGCCAATTTAGCATATTTTAACTTTCTGTGCAAAGTCATTATTACTGAAAAAAATTCCAAAGTCAGGTCAGCCTGTGGCACCCTCCACTGAACTTGACTGAAGGAAAAAATATTTGACCTGTGACCTTCATTAAAACAGAATTTACTTTCGTTTTTTTTTTTAAATTTTTAGTAAACATGTGCTTAATCTTACCCAATAAGTAATAAAAATTTGACAATTAATTTTAATTACTGTTGTAAAGTGAGATAAACAGCTTAATAAACACGTGTTTTCTTGAGGGGGTGTGACACATCGCATTGTACCTTTATATTTCTGTGTTTTATGACTATATTTGTTCACAATCAGCATGCTATGCTTTTAAAATAGATAAAGGGTGTATAGCAAGTTACAAATTTCAGTTTAAAAAATAATAAAAATGATCATCAATGAAGAAAGAGTAAACATTCTATTTTTAGGTGTGACAAAAAACAGTCATAAATCTAGCCAAATGATTGGATTCTTGCGTGGCACACATTTTCCCGCGCCTCATGTTTACAAAAAAAGAGTATAATAAAATCCCATTATTATTTGTACGGACCATAACTCATACCGCCCATAAGTTATTACCAATTAATTGTAATGTGTGTAAAATTGATGCTTTCAAGTTTTATATGCACATAGTCTGGTTTGCTATGGAAGCGTTATTTTAGAGTTATTTGATTCGAAAGATAAGAATTATATAGAGCTACTGTCACTAAGGCGCCGCTTGCGAGACAAACAAAGAAATTAGGCCAAAAGTAGATCCGACAATTCTTAAATAACAGACTTAAATAGAAACGGATAGTTCCGATTTCTAAAATTAACGATTGCCTCGTAATCATTAGTTTTATTCCTATACCGTTTAGTGAAAGCGAAACTGGTCGCCATTTTAGTAAGCGCATGAGCCATGAGATGGCTTCAAAACAACAAAGCCGGAAGCGTTGAATCGAACGGCCTAGCTTAGCTATTTAAAGTTAATTTATTGCCTGTAATATAGATATATTTCGCCATTGATTTTGGTTTATTATTCAGTTATCTATAACGAAGTGACTACTCTGAAGATTTTTCTACCCAACTTCTCCACTTAGTTGGCAAAAGACAGCTCTGCGCATGCGCAGTGACTTATGGCTAGGGTTAGAATTAAGAATTAGGGTTAGGATTGGTGTTAGGGTTCTGCGGTTGTAAACACACGCATGCGCAGTACCATCGAAAACATCGCTGCGATGGCAAGTCGTAGTTTCTCTCCATTGCACATGCGCATCTTTTTCCGGCTAGCATCGGCCTATCTATAATATCTGACACAAATATGTCACAATATAAATTATTAAAGCCTTAACGGTAATCTATCGTTTTGGGTACGTAAAATCGCCCGCGGCTATTAATGTACGAAAACGTTACCTCATTGTCAAGGCTGTAATAGAAGTATATTGTGATATGTTTGTGTCAAATATTATAGATAAATGAATAATAAACCTAAATCAATGGCTAAATATATCAATATAGGCCAGAAATTAACTTTAAACAGCAGTGTCTGCAAGCAAGATTTGCTATATAAACAGCAGCCATTTGTAAAATAGAGTGACTTCCGCCTGAATCTCGCGCTATAAGTCTATAAAAATAAAACTTTAACAAGATGGCTGCTATATAGTAAATGAGCATGGTTGCATCTGTTGGAAACATCGCTGGTGTTCATTTATTACTGAAAAGTTTTAATTCAATTGTTTAAAAACAGGTACATAAATGAAACAAGGAAACATTTTTGTATTTTTCAAAACATAAATCCTACTCAAAATGTGAAATAATTATTATTTAATTTTAAATTTATTAAAATGTAAGGAGTCACCTGTTTTTCACATTACTAGTCGCGGGCGATTTTACGTACCAAAATCGATAGATTAACGCCTTAACATAACAATGAGGCAACTTTTTCGCATCAGACTTCATCAGAGTGAGTTTACAGTAAAGTTTACACTTTACTAGCCTCTGCCGATACCTAAAATTAAAATTTAAAATCCGCCTAACTAAAACGATAGATTACCACACCATTTATATTTAGGGCCTAATCATTGGCATTTTTTATTTATTAATAATATAGGGTGTGGGGAAATTGCGAGACGCGAAAAGCGAAATGGCGAGGCGGGAAAATGCGAGAAGGTAATGCGAGACATACCTGCGGAATTAAGGGTAAATAGCGAGACACTTTTTGCGAAAAAAAGTTTTTTCCTTTTTTTTCCATCTTAATTTTTTTAAATTATTTTTTTTTTGTTTTAAAATAAACAATCATTTAGCCATACCCTTTAACACGAGTGTTGTATGTTGTTATTTTTTATCTAGATACTAAGAAGATAAATAGATCTATATCTAGATCTATCTATTTAAAAATCCTAACATCGTTGCTGTGCTACTGTCATCGCCCGCTCTTGTTAGCGAGAGGAAAATCCCGTCTCAGTCGGCATTAATTTAAAAATCTAGCCCGCTCATGTTTATACAAACGTGAGCTGTGTCATTGTGAATTGGTATAATCTTGTCAGCAGGACAGATATTTTGCAACATCTATTTATGGATTTTTGTACTTGCAAAAAGTGTAAAAGTATAAACAATTCTAAAAAGTGCAATTAATTTTTTTATTAAGTAATTTTAATTACAAACAAAATCTTCTGAAACAGTCCTCAAACACACCTCGTGTCACCATCTTTCGCACATAGTACACCCAACCCAGTTCATTAGACTCCCATTTATACATTTTTCTTTTGCTACTTCTTCCAATCCACATTCACAACATTTCACATTCTCATCACAGTTGACCTCCTCGTTCATCCCACAAACAACACTGGCACCCATGTTCTCATCATCATCATCCGCACGCTCGACATCTGTTTTCCGTTTTTTATAATTTGTATTTTTTATCATTTCTGTAATTTTGGCAATGTCTTGCTCATTGTTGTCACCAGCAGTTGAGTTTTTTTTTTAAAACATCGATATTTTCCCAAAATCTTGTCTAATTTCGGTCAAAATAGAGTATTTTAATCAATTCCTATTACAATGTATTAAAACAGTTTTCTAAAACGCGAAAAAAACGTCTAAAATTCTTTTTCTAACATTGCTTTTTTATAGCGTGACTTCACATCTAACCCCCCCTCCTCCCCCTCATCACACATCGTCATAAAATTACAGACCCCCCCCCCCCCTACGAGTGTGACGTCATTTATGGAAGACCCCAAATAACACCACCACCAAAACCAAAAAATTCAGATAAGTTCAACTTGGTTTTAAAAATATTTGAAGTAGGCCCACAGCTTACGATATAGCATGAGCAACTGATAATATCGGTGACGTCACTTTATTTTGTTGTATCCAAATGATGTAGGCATTTCCTTGTGCTTAGATTTATATGGTAAAAAAAGCTAGAAAAAAATCGTAGGCGGCGGCTATAATACAAAATTTCCATGCAACAATAGAAAATATGTTTGCGGCGGCAGCGGATCCGGGCACGGCGATCTTCAAAGACTGTAAATTAAGCGGCCTCGGCGTTCCTCACAAAAGACAGAAGTTGATCTATCGTCGGCAGTATTTCCGTCGGTTTCGAACAAGGTGGTATTCTAAGTCGACACAAAAGATGGGGGGAGTTGACAAATCATCAGTATGTCTAGCAACGGAAAAATCGGAAGTTTTAACAATGTAAACGAAACGTCTTTGAAGTCTGGACCAAATACCACTGAAAATCGGGTGCGGTAAATTTTTCGCAGAAATCCTCGCATTTCAACACCACCCAGCGTAAGTATCGGGTTGTGGTAAAATGCGAGACAAAAAAGTCACGTGACCGACCGTTTTCGCGCCCTTCTCGCATTTTCCCGCCTCGCCATTTCGCTTTTCGCGTCTCGCAATTTCCCCACACCCAATAATATAGTCTGGTTTTCTTACAGTTATTTACAAGTTGGAAGTTTTTGTTTTAAATAATTTCTGTAGGCCTCTAGATCTATCAATATTTGATTATTTGTTACACTAACTTACACGCTCTTAGATCTTTTCTTATGTAGAATCTACCTTTCTAAGAAAAACAACCGATTTAATCATCGGTACAAACACCGGAAGTAGATACAAGTTTTAAATAGAACGGTCCCTCTTCTCGTCGAAACGAAGAATAAATAACACAAGAGACATCGCGACGCAGAGGGGGTAGGTTGAAGGGATTTTAATTTTATGACATCGGTAGATGGAGTTGAGGTCTGCTTTTTCTAGGGGATGGGGATTTAAAAATTGGTGAGGCATTACACCTACTAGCATCCGAAAACAGACTCCTCCAGAATAAGTAAATAGGGGGTTTAGATTGTCAGTGTCTGAGTGTAGTAAGTCGTTTATAATAAAAATAAATATTAATATTTTTATCGTAGTAGTCTTGTAATATTACATCAGAGGCTTATAATATTTAGATTAGTCAGGATGGACTAATTTAGCTTATAGATGCATACAGACAGAGTTGTTATTGAGTTATTATTAGTAATTTATTTATATTATTTAGGCAGTGAAATTGTTGGGAGGGGGGGGGGGGCTAAATATTGTATGTTTTTATTTAAAGAAGGTAGTTTTATCATGGACACCAGCATTAAAAATAGGCTTAAGATGATGTGTGACCCTAAATATTAATAAAAAAGTGGCTATTTATTATTTATTATTAATATTATTGCACACTAGAAGCCCTACACTACTGAGCCTACTCTAGACATAAGGCTTCGATTCTCAAGAGAAAAAAACTACATCTGAAATCAGCATGAAAGAGTTTTTAATAAAAAAAAGTACTCACCGAATTCAGATAAAGTAGGCTCCTATTTTATTTTAATTGTGTGTGTGTGCGTTCATAATAGATGTAGTCATTCTTTTATTTAATGTTTTAGCAGTGGGCGTAGTTTTTTTTTACATTTGTTTTACGGTAAATTTTAAGCTTTGCTGTTTTACTATTTAGAAAATACTTTTAAAGTTTTTCATAAATAGATCTAGTAATCATATCCATAGGCCATCATCATACTCATATCACAGGCTTAATAATATTATTAATAATATTATTGAATATAGATCTAGATTAAATCTATTAGGCCCTATTACTTTTTTTGGTTTTACTTGATCTCTAATTCTGGATCTAGAATCTAGGTATTAGTGCAATTAATTAGGCCTACTACTAATGTAATTATTAATTATTTACTAATAGTATTTTTAGAGTTAGAGTATATTACTATAGTGGTAATCTATCGTTTTAGCGTAATCAATGGAGGCGAGCGAGTTGACGAGATTCCGTCCCCAATGTTGTTGACATGGAATAAAAACGTGCTTTTTAGTTTTAGACCGTATAAAAAAATAAAAACTTAAGCTTAAAATTAATTTAGAAATTTTATATTTTTAGAATAAATGCTATAAAAGTTGCAAATCCAGAGAACTTGAAAATAATTTGTTGAGTTTAAGGCTACATTTCTATTTATTTTCATCAAGCCTAAGTTATAACCGGATGTTTCACTTTCGTAAGACAAATATTGATTGGCTGTACAGTAACTTAGTGATCGATAACTATTTGTTTACAAAACTTTGCAGATCAAGTTTTTAAATAACTATGCAAATTTAAAACCCAATGACCTAGTTTTCTATTTTTAGCTTACAATGTGTACAATAAAATCAATGGCGGCATATCCAATAGCAGGATGCCATTGTTTATGTCGCCATTACACGTGAAAACCAAATTGTTTTTGCTTTTTTTTTTTATTTTTATTTAGTTACCGAAAATATTATAAACATCAAATACATGCAATCTTTAGTAAAGTCCGAAAAAAACCAGATAGACAGGATTTTATAACCATATTAATTGTAACTACGCTGTGCATGATTTTTAAATGAATTTATACACCTCTCAAATACCTTTGAGACTTTTCTCGCTGGTGTCCATTCGGCTGCAGTAGAAATGTGCGGGAGAGGTAACTGATGAATATATTTGTTTAAATAAGTATAATTTAAGTCAAATGTTACAAAACATAACAGATAATTGATTTAATATAACAATCACTGACCAAAACAATTTAAAATATCATGAAACTAACTTTAAACAAGGTGTTTGAGATAAATATTAGCAGATAAAAACAGCGGCCATCTTTCCAAATAAAATTTAGAGTAGTTTCCCTTGATACACATGTCTATTCGTATGTATATTGTGTTGATTTTGTTGTTGAATATACATAGCTGTCTTGTTTAATAAAAGTGGGACAGAGGGCCGTCTTCTTATCTTTAATTTCAATTGAAATTAAGGCTATGTATGTATGTACATCCAAGATCTCAAAGACTTTTGGGAGGTCCAACATTTATTAAACCCTTTTGTACTGATTAACTTGTCAATTATTAGGTCGTCCATATTCTTCATAAATGACGTTGGACTCAAAATATGGGACGGTGTAAAATATTTTTTCAAAAATGATGAAGAATATATTCGTGTTCGTATAGTAGAACTGCGATATGATATTAAATCATCATCTTGCTTTTAGTAACTATTGGGTGAGAGGGAAATCGTCGGGAAAAGTATGACGTCATTTATGGGCGATCCATTTAATTAAGCCTATATATAGTTGTTTGTTTTTTTTGTCTGTAGACATTAGTCTTAGGCCTACACCTTTTCTGAATTAAGATTATTGTGTTTTTTAAAATAGGTTCAAATTTTAATTAGTTACATTTGAATACCACATGGTTTGGTTTTTTTTGGGTTTTTTTTCCTTCTGCTATCATCAGTTTTTTTTATTTCTTCAGTAGTCAATGTTTACCCCCCCCCCCCCCCCCCGCGACAATGTACCGATGACGTAAGACGCAGCAGTGAAGTTAGTTGGGGGTTAGATATAGTAGAAGACGGACGTATTTTTTGATATTGTACAAATGATCTATAAGTGTGTGTTAATAAAGTTCATGTTATTTCATAAACGAAGTTGTTGACATTGTTAATTAGTGTCTGCGGAACATAAGAGTGATTCCCGTCCTCCTCACGAGTATAATGGTTGCCGTATGAATAGTAGTAGATCAGAATATATTGAGATTATATATAAATCCCCCCCCCCCCCCCATCACAATATAGTGATATCTCCCTCTAGAAAAAAAAAACTAGATGAACCTATAGTTCGTAGGAAAATTAGAATCTATCACTTAAAAAAAGAAATACGTCATTTTTCTAAACCACGCCGTTTCATCCCCCAATAAGCACAACGTCACGAAGTTCGCGGCGCGTGTGACGTCATTTGTCATTAGGCTAATGTTTAAGAAAGAGATACCGCGTAATTAAAAAAAATCAAAACAGGCACTAAATGACTATGACGATGAGACTAGCGACATTTAGCCTGACGAATAGATCTAAATGACTTTAGTTCGGTGAATTATATTGGTGTTTAATTTATTACAGTGGCATGATGTTCTCCCTCTACTATACAAATTCACGTGCTTTTAATTTCTGCAACATGCTGCCCTGAGATGTTCGGCTCTAAAATGCCCGTGACACAGCGGCTTCGGTAAATGCATTTAGGCTCCCGGTCCCACCTATAAACGTCTGTCCATTAAGCTCCACGCAAAACGTGTGATTAATATGTGGACATAAGCGGCGCTAGTGGTGGTGTCAACAGGGGCCAAGCTCAGGTCTTAAGCTAAAGGTGCTCCGCACTTCATAAAAGACAAAATTGATGTTCAGATATCGTCGGACTCTGGCGTTTTGCCGACGGCCGTACTCCTAATGCACAGTCTTAGAGGCTGTCCACTGCTAACACTATTTTATGTTAAATTTAAGCCAATACTGAGCTGTGGCTTTACATTAGCTCAGTGGCGTAGCGAGGTCGAGTGTCACCTGGTGCGGCACTTAATGGTGTCTTGGACTCTTGTCGAATATTGTTGACAGGAGCTACTTGGTTTGAGCCTTATTGTCAGAAGTTATTTCATTTGGAGTCAATATAGTGCGGCTTATTTTCGTCGGTAGGCATTTAGTGGCAGGCCCTTTTTGGCGGGGATGATGTGCTCAGGTTGTTAAACACCGCTTAGGACAACAGGCATGCAATAGTTATGATCATTCGTTATGAACAAATGTATGCATGAAAACGAACGCTTTTTATGTTCCTCAATTTCATTGAGCACAGCTTTAAAGAAGATTCCAAAATAGACGTCACGCATCCCCCCCCCCCCCCGACCACCCTGCGTAAGTTGACGGCACATTAGCATAGCATATGTGACATCGTTTATGGATAACACCATATAACTCATTTTGGGTATTTGGTATCAACATTTTGACAACAAAGGTTATTCAAAATGTATATAGGACTTGACATCTACCATAAATGACATCGCACACTTAAGGGGTGGAGTAACTGGTTTTGAGACGACGTTTTACGCGGGAAATGGGAGGGGTAAGAAACGTGAAACGTTATGTATTTCGCCAAATACAAAAATGCTGAATATATCGTTTTCATTAGAATTATGGCTTGACAAAAAGGTAATTTTCGACATTACGACTATTTCGTAACGGCGAAAATGAGGGGGGGGGGGGTTAAGGTGAAGAAAGGTAAAAAAAACGGGACGTCATTTATGATTAAATCACTAATTAAAGGAAAAAAGCATGAAAATATTACATGAAAATAGCAAACAAACAATAACACAAACAATAAGAATTAACTCAAACTAATATTTAAATAAACATTAGATATGTAGTGGTAGCTCTATAAAAATAGGGAGTATCTTAATGTGTAAAAATTGCATCTCATAATAATAATTCTAGAACTGATGTTTATTGTCAGTCAATTAAATTGTTTAAAGGGCAGAATTTTAAAAAAAAAACGCATGCTTTGTATTTAAACACAAGACTAACGTATTTAATAGCAAACATCAATATATTTCCATACAAATAGAAATTAAAGGGAAATGACTCAAAATAATATTTTCTTAAGATGGCCGCTGTTTTTAATAGCAAATTTAGTATCTGGAACATCGATGTTAAACCTTAATTTCATGACATTTTTATTGATTTAAACCTTAAATGTGGTTTAATATTCAATTATCTTTAGTATTTTAGTAAAATATGCAAAAATATATTCACATCTAAGCCATATTTGATAGTTACCTTATCCCTACATTACTAGTGACGGCCGAATTGATTACGCTAAAGCGATAGATTACCTACTATAGTTACTACTTAGCATACTATAGTCACTATAGTGTAACTATAGGCCTACTATTATAAATTATTAGTAGGCCTAAATTAAATAAAATAAAAAATAGTTTAAAAAATTTAAAATATTTAATATTATGCCTAATTATTAACTAATTAGCCTAATAATAATTAATATAGATATAGGGTAGCCTAATAATACTACTCTAATTACTAATTAATAGTAATAATAGTTAGTACTGAGGACTGACTGACTACTGAGTCCTACTGACTCACTGGAATCTACTAGATCTAGACATAGTCTAGTATTAAATACTTAATCATAATCTATATACTATATATATAATTCTCTGCTGGTAGACGCTAGAAAACAAGCTGTTAGTGCGCTCCCTATCTCCCCACCCCTTTATGGTCTGTTGAGCTGTGGTTCACGCTAAATGTTTACATTCGTAGAGCCGGGTTTAGTGACAGCTATTAGGGGGTCATCCATAAATGACGTCACACTCGTAGGGGGGAGGGGGGTCCGTAATTTTGTGATGATGAGGGGGAGGGGGGGGGGGTCAGATGTTGCGACGTCACATTTTTGCATTATAAAAATGCAATGTTAGAAAACGAATTTTAGACGTTATTTCGCGTTTTAGATAACTGTTTTAATAAATTGTAATAGTTTAGACAAGATTTTGGAAAAAATATTAATGTTTTAAAAAAATTCAACTGCAATTTTGAGGGGGGGTGTAGGTTGAGGTGTGACGTCATTTTAGGGGGGGTCTGGCTTTTTGTGACGGAGGGGAGGGGGGGAGGTAAAAATCGTCAAAAAAAGCGTGACATCATTTATGGATGACCCCTAGGGGCAGATAATTTAGTTTGAAACGATTTTAAACTATGGGGAGGTAGCTAAGAGGAGGCTGCTTTCACGAGGAGGGGGGGGTGTAGGGTAGGGGTTGGGGAAAAGGAGGGTGGGGGTAGTATCGTCCTTAACGACATACTGATAATCATCCTTAACGACCTATTAAAGCAAATATTTTCAGTGGCAACATTGGTACTGTCGAATTCACAAATTATGAATTACGGAAAAGTAGAAAATAAAACAACTAAATAGCGGCGTATATGCCGCGGGTCGGCTCTTATTACTTAATAAGTTAATAGGAGCTGGGTGGACTCAGGGACATTCTACAGACTTGAACCTAGATTAGAACTTAAGACTTTGGGTTAGCAGTCTAATGCTCTACCATACGACCACTCCATCCTATAACTGAAAGGGAGTGAAATCCTGTTTTCACTAGGATAAACTTATAGATATTGTATATTTCATGTTGATTGACATAAATGACTAATGCTAATGTTTGCATTTAAACATTTTTGATATTATGATTGCAGGATAACCAAGTGACACAGCATTCAAAATGGATCAAGACTTACCAATTATAGGTGTTTGTATAGTTAGTGAGCCTGGCAAATGTCCAGCAAACTACACCCTGGCAAGTTTTCTTGCAACTTATTATTGATTGTCGTTTACATTTTTATTTTCATGCCGTTGATGATAAAAAAATAATTTTTATTATATTTTGCCTTTTTACTCATGTCTGAAAATCAACTCCTGTCATCCAATTTGAAATTAATTTATATTATTTTATAATTGTACTAAAGATAAAATAGTTAGTGCATCAAATGTGCTATTGTTGGTTTTGAAAAAGGTAATATTACTGTAGAATAAATTCTTACAAAATCCATCATTTTAACACTTTGAGCACATTGACCATAAGTGACCTGTACACAATAAAGAAAATGCCATTTTGTTTATTACTTTATAGATTGACAGAACGTTTGATCGCAACGAAGATGCAGATTTGTGGAAAGATGGCCTCTTTACTCGAAAAAATATGAGATATTTGTGTGTTGAAAGACAGATTGCAACCCCAGTATGTTTTATTTTATCAGTACTGATTTTTTAACTTTTGAACTCTTGCTTGATTGTTACCTAGCTAGAATAGAAAAAAATAAAGAATTTAAAAAAATTAGACTATAATCAATTATTTGAGTACTAATTAATTTAGTTATTTCATAAATGCAGGCCACAATGTAATAATAGTATTAATTAATGTTATTATTAAACTTGCGTATTTCTTTTAATATTTTATTTTTATAGAATCGTGATGTTCTTGTAGATGTCACAATCATAGGTGAGAGAGATAATATTCCACCAGGCTTTAGCGTTATCTCAGAGACTCATGATTCAAGTAAGTCCATGCAGCTTGCACAGAAATAATGGTAAATTAGTTTCAACATGTATCACACTGTTGTTGCAGAATACTAGCAAACTTTTATAATGCTTTATAAACAAAATTGTTTTTGTCGCTTTGGTTAAGTTGATCATAATACTTAAGTTAAAACCAGTTGCTTTATTCAAACATGTAATGCATAAGGTGTCCAAAATTGTCACTTTTCTTTGCCGAGCAGAAGAAAAAGCTACCCAGAAAAAATTGATTTGTGTCAGGTGGATGATACCTTCTATGACATCTGATGCCATCACTGAGCTTATTTTCACTTCCCGTGTTTTGAAGAAGCCACCACAGGGCTTTACACTAGTAGGGTTTGTAATATTTCTGTTAATTTTTTTATGTGGATAGGTTTAAGTTTTTTTTTTCCATTATTTAGTATAAATCTACTTTTATCTATTTTTATTTTAACCAAGCCCACCATCTTAATAGCTAAATATCCATTAATTATATTTACAATTACTAACTATAGATTTAATAAAATGTCCTTGTGAAAAAATGTATATATTTAATATGTTGATAGAGAAAGAGGGGGGTTGGGGGAAGAGCTGTAGATTTTGTTTCAATTTTCAAATATCTGTGTGATAATAAAAAGCTCCTGTTCACAATTCTGTACTTTAGATAACTCTCTCTGATAGTGTTTCCCTTTAACATTAGTGGTACTCTCTCCCTTTGCTGTGTACTCATCATTTGTTAAAAAAATATTTCTTTAGTGAGATTAACATGCTACAGTTGTGTTACAAAATGGGAAAAATTCAAACTAGTACTGACCAGGTAATGACTGCATCTTCAGTTCAAAGCTACAGCTCAACACCACAGTTGCATGGTTTGTAAGTACTTATTTAAGTATTGGCAGTGTTTATTCATGGTTGTTTGTTTGGCAGTAATGCTACTCTTACCCTAGTCTTGACCGTTCAATAATGCTGACCCTGCTATACTGTTTTTTTTTTTTAAAAACTGATGCAAATCTCTATCCTGCTATCCTGTTTGGTTTTTACAAAAAATATATATAAAATGTTAATTACTAACAGTCCTACCTATTACTTTGATAATATAACATTTAGCGCTTGTTTTTAAATTTTAAGATGCTGATTCAGGCATTATTTCGTTTCATACCTAGAGCCCAGCCCTTACCCTACACATTGCCACCGGCTACAATAGCGAGGCCACTTAATTCAGGGCAAGCTACACTCTCCAGAACAGGACCTCCTGAACAGTCTGCCAATAGCCTTGCAACAAGCCATGTTAATCGTTAGTACCTTTTATTATTTAGTAAATATAATAATTTTTTTAAATTTTATCATATAAAGAACACTCCATATTTTATGTCAATCCGTCAGGAAACAATATAAAATTCCAGATTAAAATATTTAATGTCTGTTCTTTCCAAATCTCACTTCAGCATTTGTACATCATATTTCCATTTTTAATTTATTCCTTATTGATTATATAATTATAAGCTTGTTCATACGGAGGCACATTGTTAGTAAGTTGAAGCAAACAGATTTCAAATTAGTGACTGGGTGTTCAAAAAAATAGTTTGTTAAAATTACATGGCAAATTGCCGTGGTAAATGGAGTGGTTTGTGTTGGACAGAAAATTACTTGAGAGCCCAAACTAATCATGAAGCTAATTGTTGTTTAGCCTGACGTCACATTTTGTCAAACCAAATTACAGCATTTGCAAGACCATGTAAATAAATTTTTGTCGGGTTTGAAAGGGAACTTATCTTATATATTTCTTTTGTATTAATATTAACAAATAAATGTAAAAGTTTATTATTAAGAAAAATAATCCATGTTTATTTGTCTCTACAGCTATTTCAGGCATAGAATGGAAAATCAATCAGAAGTATAAATTAATTTTAGAACTACAAAATGTAAGCATTAAAGTTTTAAAATATTATATACTGATACTTAATTTAGTTTTCATTCTGTACAAGTTTTCCCTTCTTGTGTATAAGTGCAACTTTGTGGTACTGTGGTATAATTTTTTTCCTTAAACCCCAACCTAATCTCTACTTTGTTATATGATTTTTTTTCTTTCTCTAACCCCAACCCAATCACAACTTTGTGGTATGATTTTTTTAATCTCAAACCCAAACCTAATCTCTACTTAGTGGTATGATTCTTTTCTTTCTCTAACCCCAACCCAATCACAACTTTGTGGTATGGTTCTTTTCTTTCACTATGCCCAACCTAATCTCTACTTTGTTGTATGATTCTTTTCTTTTTCTAACCCCATACTAAGTATAACTTTATCATGATTCTTTCTCTCCCTTTTCCACAGTTGAGTTTTCCAGATTTACATTGCAAGACATTAGGGGAACTGGAGCAACAGGTTAGACATCGCTTCTTTTTTTGTCAGATAAGGAATAAATAATGTAAAAAAGAGAAATATCAATTTTTTTCTCTAAAAGAATGAAGCTCTCCTATAAGTAAAGTTCCCTTTCAGACTTAACAATCCATAGATCAAATTAGGTAGAGCTCATGTTTCTTGACCTCAGCATATGAAGAGATAATGTGTTCAAGTATTATGAAAAGTGCATTTACTTTCCCTAACGTGAGCTGGATGCTCAGGGACATCCTGCGGGCTCAAGGCTGAGATCCGAACTCGAGACTTTTAGGTTGATACTCTACCACACCTTTCCTGTTATAAAAAATTTTATTAATGAAAATTTCTGTGTACAGTGGCTAATCAATTTGTGGTTTGACCTTTATTTTATTTCAGTACAAGTATGATTTTAGTGTGGAGAGATCGGTGTCTAAAAACCCAGCTTTGAGAACCCCTTGAGGAAGCATACACCAGGGGGTCTGTCGATGTCAACATGGGTATCTGGGTACAAACTGAGAGATCAGATTTTAGAGATTTTTTATTTTTACAGAATTATTTGTAATACTGGAGTACTTCATTGGTATTTCTCACGTGCAAGCAGGTAGCTATTGGTAGCAAATTAATGAAATAGATCAATAATGTATGATCAAACAATACTGATTGTTTAATTAACATGGTGCGATTATGTAATCCTATTATCTCTGTATAATATTTGTATTTGTTTTACAAATTTTAGTTTGTTTTTTTTGTTGTTTTTTTTAACTAAAATTTTCTACTATCTTGTGTTGCTATAAATACTATAATTGGACACAGCTTTTTGAAAAACCCATGTTTGCAAGTTCATGTACATATAATTTTTTAAAAAAAGCTACTTATTTTTTATGCCAATAATTTTATCCATTATGAGTAAACAGTAAGCATGTAAGGCTAACCTCATGCCAATAATTTTCCCACTAATGAGTGAGAAGAACATGTAAATAGTTTATTGACCTATAGCCTTTTCTGTGATATCATCCTTGGTTGCAGTCTTAAGATATCAAAGGGCAGTAAGTCATTTTTTGTGGGGCATTTAAAAAAAAAATACCTTATGAAAAGTAATGACTAACAGGTTAGATAAAATCTGTGTTTACTTTGCTAATTAGCTAATCAACTTTGAGATGTACATAATTATATTATTTAATAAATCAATTTTACAAGGTCTTGTTTTTTTGTGTGTTGTTATTTAAACTTATCAAACACTTTAATTCTCATAAACTTAAAGATAATTTTAATTTTGTTCTCTTAAAATCCTGTAATGATTTCCTCATTAACTATTTTTTATAAACTTATCTTCTATTTCTATAACATTGTTACATCATTCTATTTTTAGTATTACAGAGGTAGGTGGCACATAAACTTTGTATACAATGACCTATAACTAAAAGTAATGCATTGAAAGATAGTATGCTATCTAAAATTCATAACAAAAGAATTTATTGTTTACTGATCGATGTATATTTCTGACATTATTTAAGTTTTCCAGGCTTAAAAATATCGTAATTGAATACATGTTGCATTGAAATGTTTATATAAATCGAAGAAAAACGTACACTTTAAAAGCAGCTCATGGTAAACTGTGAATTATTGTTTGAATATCTTGATAGTTGATACACACTAGTGTTGTCCAATGTGTACTCACTGACTGGCAAGAGATGTTTTTTAGCGCAATTTCCATTCTGGAGAATTGCGTTTATTAACTCGTCATTTCTGGGAATGGATGGATGAATGAATGTATGGACGAATGTGTGTCCGGGCTTTAAGTCGTATCTCCTCCTCAACGAAGCAATATCGAGGACTAGTTCCAAAAGCAAATATGTTAAGCAAGTTACGAGGATGAGCATAGGCCATAAAAATTCCGGGTTTCTTTCATGTATTTCCCGGAAAAGCCAAAAAACCTCGAAAAAAACTCAGTTTTTGGCCCATATCTCGGCAACCAGACCACTGAGCGACTTGAAACATGTACCAATCGATTCCTGCCATAATTTAGAACAATATTGCCGAAGAAAGTTTTCAAAAATATCCTCTCGTTCGGTCACAAATTTTAAAATTACATAAACACCTACAAACCGATCGTTCTTCTAGCTTGAACGCACCCCAGCAATATACGTCAGAGCTATTTTTAGATAACATAAGGAAATTGCGCATAAATGTCACTAGACTTTTTTATTAACTTGTTTAAGTACATGGATTCAATTATCTCAAAGTTGTGTCTGGGCTGCATTTTTTTCTACTTAAACTAATATGTTAGAGCCCATAAGAGGACGATGTGGCCTAGTGGTAGAGCGCTAGACTGCTAACCCGAAAGTCGAGTAGGAATCCGGGTTTAAGTTATTTAGACATCCCTGCTCTGAAGGGTACCTAACTCACGTTAGGGAAAGTAAATCGGCTAGGCATAGTGCCAACCACACTATCCCTTCATATGCTGAGGTCACAGAAACAGGTATACTCTACTTCACTTGCCCCAGGTAGTGAGATGGGAACTTGACTGGAGAGCTTTAAACTGGAAGAGGATTGAAGTTATATCTCTATGGCCCATGCCCGTATTAAAGTACATGAGAAGTATCGTTATCGGCAATACTAGTATATCGACAACCAGCTCAAAATTAAAGCCAGTTTGGGTCCTATATCAATGGTTCATAATGGGGGTTGGCGTGGTCGAGTCGGTGAAGCTCATGGTTGCTAAACCGAAAAGTCTCGAGTTCGAACCCTCGGGCAGATGAGGCTCGTTAGCTGGGGACAGCCACTCTTCTAGGAGAGACAACTCCAAAAATAAAACAACTGCTGCCTTGTAGCTGTTCTTGGTTGGACAAAGGCTATGGAAGCAAATCCAAAAAGAAAAGCAGGCTGAAATCGGAGTCAATGGCCTCAACGGCGCATAACCAGTTGACACGTAAATCTTAATTGTGTTGGAAAAAGGTCGGCGTGGTCGAAAAAAAAAAAGCTCATGGTTGCTAAACCAAAGTCTCGAGTTCGATCCTTTCCAGCACTAAAATTAAGAACGAAGAAGAAGAAGAAATGGTTCATAACTTGCTCGATCGAACCCCAGGGATTCGGTGAGTTAGTCTCAGGGGTTCCGAGCTCAAGACACACACCCGACTCATATGAATCACGATCGGATTTCGTCAGTGCGGGCGATAGAATTATTAAAGTTGGGTTCGGTGAATGCGCATGTGGGGTTCGGTGCCTCCAAAAAGGTTAAGAACCACTGTTCTATCTATATGTTTGTGGCTTGGTTCCTAGTAGGCCTGCTTTGTCCGCATAACGAACATCCTTTTTGTAAACGGCCATTTATTTTGTAAAGGTATCGGAAATAATAAAAATAAACATGTTGATTCGCTAAAAGTACGTTTTTGTTTATTTCGTGATTGCGATCCCCCGCCTTCGATCTAATTATAGTTCGCGCAATAGGCTGTTGACACCTTTGTTGATGTTTCGTTGCTAGGCAACGGCGTCTGTCAATACCAATCCCGGTTAACGACTAGCCAAGAGCGAATAAATATTTTATTATTGTTTATTTGCCCCCTCCTCGACTGGGCCGCAGCAGTAGTATTTTACAACCTGCGGTAAAAAATTCGTGTAATAAAAGGCAGATTTTGTAGCGTGCACTGCTGATACGAGGGGTATTGGGCAGGGCCACAAATGCTGACTCGTATTGTTGCTGCCCTTAAAAATACAAGGCTAAATCATTTGGTCTGCTCATGTTCGTTTATAGTTCATGAATGTAGTATAAAATCCTAGCAACAGCCGTAAAAATCAGTGGTATGAGTCACACGATTCATTGATAAAAATCTACAATTTCTCAAACTTCCGTTGTTAGCGGGAAAAGGGGGAGGGGGGGGGGGAGGCACTTGAAATTTTAGAGAGGGGGGGGGGGGGTTGGTTAAATTTTAATATTTTCTACACTGATAGAGTTCTAAAAAAATTGTCTATAGTTCAGCGGGGGGGGGGGGGGGCACTGGTTAAATTAAATATTTTCTATAATTTTATACTTTCTATATTTAGTTGGGGGTGACATTTATTTGTTAAATATTTGCAATAATTATATATGTTTTGTCGTGGGGGGGGGGGCAAAAGGGAGGCTGTGAGCCAGGGAGGGGGAGGGCAGTAAGACACAGGAGAGGTGCCTGAAAGAAACACTTGAGTGATGTGATGATAAACGACGTTGACCACAATCTTTTCTGCTGCAGAAGGCTACATCAAAATAGTAGTCACTCGAAGTGTTAGCTCGGCTTTAAGAGAGTCGTCCAATGATTATGTCCCTTACTTAAAGACTAGTTTTTATCTCGCTTCACATGATTACACAGACACCGTTACAAAACAATCCATAGTTACTAAGTTCTTCCCCTTGATTCACATGTTCTGTTGAACATTGATGTTTCTGATAGTTTTAGTCCTTCAAAGATGTGAAATGAGTACTGCATCACATTTTCTAAATAGACCAATCTTTAAACTCGCCACAAATCGTCCCAACCCTCAACCCTAAAGAAACATTTATGGACGCACCTAACTTGTTGTCTACTCAAACTGTAGAAGAGGTGGTCTGCACCACCCTATGCCATTACGCATCATCTAGTGTGTCACTGTACTGTCCATTCCCTATTTTTGTTACCGTCCATTCCCTAAGTATGTCACTGTTCGTTCCCTAGATATGAAACTGTTCATGTTCTAACAATGACGTCCATTCCCTAGCTATGCCACTGTCCATTCCCTTCTTATGTCACCATCCATTCCCTGTTTATGTCACTGTTCGTTGCCTAGATATGAAACTGTTCATCTTCTAGCTAGGACACTGTCCATTGCTCAGCTTTGCCACTGTTCATTCCCTAACTACGCCACTGTCCATTCCCTACTTATGTCACCGTCCATTCCCAATTTATGTCACTATAATTTGCGTAGATATAATACTGTTCATCTTCCATATGAGCTACTGTGATTTAATTGCCACTGTCTATTCCCTATCTATCCCACTGTCCATTCCCTAGATGCGCCACTCTCCATTCCCTAGTATATTAACAGTCCATTCTTTTGCTATGCAAATATTCGTCTTCAAGCTATGGCAACACCTATTCCCTTGAAACGCCGCTGTCCATTCTCCCTATTACTCACATTTCATATGTTCATTTGTTTACGATTTCAAGTGATTAACAGCAAAATAAATTACAAATGTAACTTTAAAATCCCCCACCCCGCGTAATGCCATCCTCGTTACTTGTAATGTTTTATTTCCTTCCATTTATACTTGATTTTATACTATATAATTTATGTTCATTTAAAAGATCAAAAGCCGTTAATGGGACAGCTCATAGCTAGTTCCGTTTTACTGCATTCCCGTTTAAAATATGACGTAAATTTAAAGTAAATTGGTGTTCCTTTCAAAAGACAAGCAGTTTAATACTTTAATACTTTAGACTGGTGTCAATAAAAATAAGTTAGAGAGGCCTAGTCATAAGTAAAGTTCCTTTTTCGAGCCTGACCCTCTATGGGGAAAGTGAAGTAGAGTTTACCTGTTTCTGTGACATCGACATATGAAGGGAAAGATGTGGTCAATACCATACCCAGCCGCATTTATTGAGTGGGGGGGGGGGGGGGTAATTGACAGGGGGAAATGACTCCGGGGCTAATATCGGGGCCATTTATAGCATGTCAATATTTCACATAATTTAAACACACACACACACACACATATATATATAATATATATATATATATATATATATATATATATATATATATATATATATATATATATATATATATATATATATATATATATATATATTCTTCCTTTTATTTGTTTTGTTTTCTGTCCAAACGTCAAGGATGCTGACAAATCCAACTGACGAAGCCTCACACTGCTGATGTTCCGTAACATAGATCAGCTCGCGGAGGCGACCCGATGTGGCACCGTCCAGTCAATACTTCCCCCCCCCCCCCCCAGGCGCGGAGTCACCGATCACAGGTAGAGCAACAGAAATCGATCAACACGCCGCGAGTTTAACAGTGCATGAAGAACTGGCACAAGAAAACTAGTTCGTGATTGGCGTGACAGTGCGGTTGTGTTTCTGTTTGAGATTACTGTAGTGATCTGTTGGATGGTTTAGATACGTGACCAGGTACGTCATATAAGTCAGATTTTTTTTTTGTAGACACATTTT